TTTCTCCTCCTCACCTGCTCACCTTACCAATGCATTTCAGTAATCCTCCTGTTCTGCTCCACACTGTCTCTGGTGAATCCTCTCACACCCCCTTCACCTCTCCCCACACCTCTGGCCTATAGCCCAGCTCTGCTACACAAAAATAAAATCTAAAAAAAGAAACTGTTGAATTAAAGGGGAAATATCCACATTCATCTTACTTTGCCCTTTTAATCCCTGCAGTTTAAGGAAACCAAATAATTGAAATATTCCATTTTATAAGGTATCCTGACTAATATATTTAAAAGAAATAACACAATTAAATGAATCATGTATCAATTGATTTTTATGCTTGGGCTAAGTCCTTATATTTCATGAACTTCAGAGTTTTCCCAGTAATTGAACCAAAGTTTAAGGAGAAAGTGTACTAGAAACAGTCACCCCAATACAAAAAAACACACAGTTTGATTCCTGCATTCCTGTTCTCAACTGCTGTGCATGCTCTCATGTACTGCCTGGGAGTTAGTCACCAGGTGTCAGCAACTGCAAGTCCTTCCAGATAATTCTCACTTTGGGACTGTGGGGATAATAGGTGAGGAGGCAACACCTACAAAAACTGATTTCACCTGGGTGACACACACCCAGGTGTGTTGTTAGATAGAATTAAGCTCTATGTTATGGTCAGTATGGAGGGGATTCACTGTGATCTTCCTCCTCCAGAAACTGTAGGACTGGTAGAGAGAGTTCCATGAATATAAGAATAACCTTGAATTCACCCTAATTTATTAAAAGTCAAATCCTGTCCAGCTTATACTGTATTGGTAATGGATAATTTGAGGTGCCTCTCACACTTGCTCATGACAAGCTGCAAGTCCATATTTCTGGGATGGGGCATTAGTAACCAGGGCATGTCGGTTATGGTGAGGATATTGGAAAGTGCTGGAAGCCACTGAAATGTGTTAAGCATGGGCAGGTGCCGTGATTGGCTCTGTTCTTGTTGCTCTCTGCTAAAGCATCTTATCTGAGGCACCCAACAGCAGTGTCCATATGCATGCATGAGACACAGGACGCCTCTTTTCCATGCCATGGAATACATGGATGTTGTTTCAATGAGGTTTATATATGCCCCAACCTACTACTTGCTCAGGGTGCCCTATGTGAAGTCACCTATGCCTGCCTCTCTGAGCACATAAAGACCTTTGCAATTGAAGCTAGACTGTTAACTTTCAGAGGCACATACTGGTATTCTTTTCTGTGGTCTATCATCTGGTGACATCTATAGCTGTGAAAACAAATAGGAGCACACTAAATGTATGCCATGTCAACAAGGACTAATTATGTTGGTTTCCACTAAGTGATACCTGCTGTGATGAACTCAGGGCATAGAGAAATGAGAGGATGACATTTTACTTTTATTAGTAAGATAAAAATTCAGTTTTTCCTTCCTTAATCAGACGTTTGTTAAACTTCTTCTATGAGTGTACAACTGCTAGATGCTGGACACCAAATCAACACCAGCCCATCTACAGATTCTGTGAATTTCAGGGGAGTAGGGAGTGGATTGGTGATCCCTGCTCAATTCTTTGGGAGGGCAGGGGAGGACTTACAGCCAGCGTGGGCATAGTCATAAAATAAATATTGGTAGGGCCTCCTTGATGGTGCAAGGGGTTAACACAGTACTATGAAGCTGACCAAAGCCACTGCAGCACAAGGTCGATCCCCAGTCAGGGAGCTGACCCATTTGGCATGGCAGACCTCTCCTGTCTCACCCACTGTTC